TATTAAACAACATCATTGGATCTATTTATTTCTTCCCAGAGTAATTAATAATATTATTCATTTCGGGAACTATTAACGTAGTAGGCGAACGCCACGAATGATTTTGACAGCAAAGCATTTGATTTGTTTCAATATTATGTCAGTCTTTTAATATTTAGTTTGCATTTATGTTGGTCAATTTAAAAAAAGCAGAAAATGCCGAGGCATAATAATTATTCTAATACAGATATGAGAGATATGTTTGCTATTTACTATCAGCAAAATTTTAATGGGCGTGCTGCGAAACGAGAATATTTGAGAAGATATCCAAACAGGCAGCAACCTAATCATCAAACATTCAAAAATCTATTAAGGAATTTAGGCGAAAATAGTTCGTTTCGTCCTAAGCGTGATAACATAGGCCGACCAAGAATAATTACGCCTGATAAAGATGACGAAATAATGGTTCGCATTGAAGATAATCCTCAAGTGAGTACACGGCGTTTATCTACTGCTTTAGAAATCAGTAAAACTTCTATTTTAAAAAGACTGCACCTTCAGAAGTATCACCCATACCATTTTACTGCGGTACAAAATTTATTGCCAGCAGGATCTACCGTTAAGATACCAATTTGCAAGTGTTATCTGAAAGAAACAAAATCTTGATCACACCTTCGTCGACAGAATATTATTTACCGATGAAGCTACCTTCTCCCGCCGTGGTATTTTTAATATAAGGAACAATCATCTTTGGGCTATTGAAAATCCACATGGTAAACGAGAAAGGCATTTCCAATATGAATTCAAAATAAACGTATGGTGTGGTATCATTGGTAACAATTTCTTAGGACCATACGAGTTAACCCGTAATTTGAATGGTGAGAACTACTTACATTTTTTGCAAAATGATTTCTTTAATCTATTGGAAGAATTGCCACCGAATATAAGACAAAATATGTGGTTCATGCAAGATCGTGCACCGAGAGCAATCAAAACATATTTAAATAACAACTTTCCTGAACGCTGGATTGGTCGTGGTAGCCATTTCCCTTGGCAGCTATTTCCCTTGGCCGTTACGTAGTCCAGACTTGAATCTCCTCGATTTAGGTATATGGAGTGCAATGAAACAACTTGTTTATAAGGATCCCATAGGGTTTTTTTGATCCAATGATGTTGTTTAATATGAGACGATCTTTTATGGGACGTGTAGATAAATGCATTGACAAGAATGGAGGACATATTGAACATTTAATGAGACACAATTAACGTTATAATGTTATTTAGCTTAGTTTTTTTAATTTGTTTTCTAAACGTTTTCAATAATAATCATGCAGCTGATCCCTAAAATGCGATTATATCGTAAACCGTTATGTTTTAAGGTTAATAACAAGTATACTTTTCTTCTATTAAAATAACGTGGCTTTAATATTCTTTTACAAAAATAGCGCTAATTTAAACAGCAAAAAAAATTTAGGGCACATTTTGCCACAAATCTAGCCTATGTAGCGCTCTCTACAAATTACATCGAAGTAGGTACCAGATTATGATTTTTCGTGCCCAAAAACCTCTATTTCCAAATTTTTATGTATACATATCCAAAAACGTTAAAGTTATTGCAAAAAAGAAATCTTAAAATTTAACCTTTAACACCCTGTATATTCCTTATTAGCAACATTTTATTAAAGCAAGTTGGTTTAAATCGTAATATTTTAAAGTAAGGAATCTACCATACTTCTATGTACAATTACCTACGGACCACCCTGCATATAAATGTAAAGTTAATATTATTAATAGTGTTTTGCCATGTAAAGAGATTAATAACGCATTTTATCATGACCGAACCTTCCTTGGTTATAGATTTAAATAGACAATCATATCTCAGCTAGCACAAAAACATCCCATCTACGTTAATAATTTTAGGCTCTTTAAGCTCAAATGCGATGTACTTTTAATATAACCCTAATATCCCTGCAACCACCGAATGTCCGCAATGACAAGACTTTTATAGCACATCTCACAGAGGTTACAAAGTGAAGTTCGGAAAACATCACACTAGCACTTTTGAGGTACTTACCCTGAAAGTTGCTCTGAAACTTTCTACAGATGTTATAATGTGAATTAGTTCAACAGCATTATACAGTGTGTCCACGGATGGACTTAACTATACTTGTGAAAATATTTATTTTAAATTAAAAAAGTAATTCTTCATAATTTATTTTACTTGTTAAATAAATTCGATTCACATTAAGAAATTATGAATTTAAAATAAATATTTTTACAAGTATAATTAAGTCCATCCATAGACACACTATATTATTCTTTGTGTAATGTAATACAGAGAGGCTGAAATTGAGGTATAGTAAAAACTCAATTGAGACATGGAAATTTCAAATAAAACAAAATATTTATATAAATTTATTATTAAAATGTTCTTGAAATCGAGTAGTAATATCACAAAAGTAGAGGTAGGTATATCACAAATGCAGTTACACATGTGCGATAGTAGAAGCCACCATAAAGCATTGAACGATTGGACAAAATTTGCTTAATAGTATAATAAGGTATCAATATTCCAATGGTTCACTAGAAGCTTAAACAGTGAACGATTGTACACAAGTATATTTATATAAGGTACTTTTCAAGATGGCAATTGTATGATGCTAAAAAAAATTAGATCTGTCAATAATATATTATACGAGATAGCTGAGTTCCCAGATTGCTTACCTGTACTCGCAGAGATATATCATTTTTTCAAATTCAAACCTTTTAACTTTTTTTGTATAGATATTTATATATTATTTTTATTTTATTAGTTTATTATTTATGCAAAGATGAACAAAAATTATTTTATTCTAACTACATGTGGCTTGGAAATATTTTTATTTATGCTATATTGTTACATAAGTATATGACAATTTATTAGAAGAGGACAAATTATGTTTTTATATAAAATAATTTTACTTTTCCCCAACATATTGAATAAAAAAGAGCAGGGGCGGCTTGTGACCAAAATTTTGGGGGTTCACAGTAGCAGAATAATAGATCTCAGTACAGATATAGGTGAAAAACTGTCAATGCTTTAGAAATGTATATTATAAACTTTCTAAAACACTGAAAGTTTTTTCATACATCTGTACTGATACCTATATTCTGTCACTGTGAACCCCCCAACGAGCCGCCATTGAAAAAGAGATTGACTTACTTGTTTAACTATTAATTATATAGAAATTAAAAAAATGTGACCTAGAGTACTTCAAACCGTAAAAGTCAATGAACATATTTAAGTAGTATTTTTGTGCTAAATCAATAAATATACATATGGGTACGCTTTTTGTGTTATTGAAGAATAGTAAAAATTTGATGTGTCCAACACATAACTTTTCTATCTGGTTATTATAGGCTTTTTCCGGTTATTTTGTACAACCTATTGCAGCACCTCTATAAATGTTTAGAGGATAAACTAAATATATAAATTTTCTAAATACATCTAACTCGAAACGTTTTTTTATAATATATATTCCATAAAATATAAAAACGGCCTCCCATAAAGTACCCCCCAGATGTTCCGACTTTGTCCAAAATCTAATCATTTCACCTCAAGCCGAAAAAAAGGAGGAGGTTCTCAATTCGTCGCAATATTTTTTTTTATGTATGTTCAGCTATAATTCTTTAACAGGGGTGGTCCCATATAAATTTGGTCATAATCTAATAATTGGGTCCATGAGAAAATCCTCAAACTCTTCATTTTTTATGGATGTTTAGCGATAATGCTTTACCACCTTGTGCGATTTAAATGATTCTCTTTGCACGTTTTGAAGTCGGTTTTTTTAAATTTTTAATTTCTAATACTTGTTATTATATGTATTACGTAAAACTGAAAATGTCAAATAAGTTCTCACTTCTGAATTGTGGTATTAAGCACACTTCTTTTTTTATTAAAGTTTTATAAGCACTATATCATCTATAGGTATATAATATTCTTCCCTATGTTTAAACGTACTCAGGCATCATGTTTGTGTCTCTTTGAACGTTAATAATCTAAATAACGCACATAAATTACCATTGATGAAACTTTATATAATGGTTTTGATTTTTTTTCATAATTCCCAAGAATAGATATGGGTATGTTTAAATCATTTCATATAAATATTATTTTACATATTATATTAACGTCAAATGTAATTTATATCGTCCAAGATTAATTAGTAATTATCATTTTAATTAGATTAAATAATTTCAGAGACCAATATAATGTTCAATAAACTATAAAATTATAATTTTAGAATTTATTGACATTACAAATATACAGGGTAAGCCAAGTAAACGATGATTTCAAAAATATTTTGTAAAATGTCCGAAACTTGGCCTCTATGTTGTCGCACACATTTTTGCAGTATCGTTGCAAAGCTGCCGCTCAGCATTTCTAGCGGTACTTCAGCCACTTCATGTCCAATCCTTTTAATGCCTGGATAGTCTTTGGGGGTTACTTTGAAAAAATTTTGTTTTAGGCACCCCCAAAGGAAAATGTCGCTCGTAGACAAAACAGTAGAACGAGGTGGCCAGGGAATTTCGCCGATTGACCGACAGCAGGTTGATCGATAGGCCAATTGATCGACACACAATTGACCTACAGACCAACTGACCGATAGGAAAATTGGCAGACAATTGATTGAAGGACAATTGACCTACAGGATAATAATTGACCGACACGCCAAATAATCGACAGACCAATTGACCGATAAGCCAATTTACAGACAGACCTATAAATCGATCCAAACATAGCGTATTTTTTATCAAACAGTGGTCAATTAAAATTAAATTATTTTTAGAATGAAAATTGGTTTATGCCACTAAAAAAACGTCCAATTTGTACAAGTTAATGTCATCGCGGGCTGCTTCAGTCAATTGCCCTGTTGGCTCTCACTTCAATACCTAAAAATCATATGTGCCGAAAAACTGTATGAATACTTGGATATTTTTGGACCATCAGTAATAGCAGAAATATAAAAAATACATAACAAGAAATGCTTTATTGTTTAAAAAAGTACATTACTGAACTACATATAATACTATAATACTGTCATTCGAAATTTGCGTCTCATTTTATTCAGGGCGCATGGTGTTTGGCTGAATAATCTTAGTCCAGGGAAATGTTCCTGGCTGCATAGAAAGAAACAAAAATTCGGATAGGTTTTCTTATCAGTACCGCAAACTGGTTGTATTTGAGTTGTGCATTTGCATTTTAAGACGCGACCATCGGAGAAAACAATACTGTTGACTGGTGGGGTCGGTGGTAACTAAAATATATAATAAATAAAAGTTTTATCAGAATTAATTGTAGTTAATGATAACAATGGGTATTTTGAAATACATATTAAAATGGGTAATAGTATATGATGTTCAAAAACGAACTTCACTAATTTTACTCTAAAATTCTCAAATTTAAGTTTTAGAAATATTTCTCTTTTTCCAAACATTATTCCATTCTTCGTTGTGCCAATAATTGAACAGAAACTACATATAAATTTACTTCTTTTGGGTAGACTCCATACTTATCATCATAACTACCGTTGGTGCCCGGTGGCAGAATAGACCTGTTCCCCATCACACAGGTATGCCGTAGAAGGTGATTTAATGTTTCTTTGCTTAACTTTGTTGCTGCATAGGTAGTAATTTGTCTTTATTGTACCATTTCGCTTTTTCGAAATCCTACTTATATTATTTCCTTCTTTCTAATTTACCCTTTTTTTATGGGTCATGGTCTATTCACGTCAAACGAACTTCAAGTCTCTGGCGTAGTATGGCTCTAGATTCAATGCCCTTCACTCTACTCTTTAAATTGAGTTGGTATAATACTAGCCCAAACCAATTATGCCTTGGTTTCTCCGGACTTGTGTATGGATCATAATCCTAGAACCCAAGCATAGCCCTTAAGTTCTTAATACATTATTTATTATTGATGATTTGTACGGTTCAGTTCGGTTGCCTCCTGAACAATTCACAAACGTTCCTCTCCATGTGCCATCGTCATCTGTCAACATCTGTTTAGTTATGTTTTGTGTCTACCACGAAATCTAAACTAAATTATATTCATCAAAATGCGAGTAAAGCATAAAGACCCAGAATTAAACGGTATAGACATTTTTTAATTAGATATTGCTTCTAAAGTGGCAACATTGTATGCGGTCGTACCGTTTGCGGTCAAAACAATTTTCGTCCCACTTGCGGTTAATCAATATGATAAAATGCAAATAATGTTAGGGGTAATCTCACTTACGGTCAAGAAAATAACTTTATAAATTGGCAATTCCAAATTGCGAATTAAATCATCAGGTACATAAAAATAATGGTCAAATTGCCCTCCATGCTAGTTTTCTTCAGCATTCAAAGCTTGAGTCTCGAAGAGTAAGGACGTGTTCCTTATCTCTAATTCTCGTACGAGTGCGGTAGCAAAAAGTGTCCACAAATAAAAACAGCAACTAGCAGATGGCAATTAACGTGGCAGTGGCGTTTGTAATGATATTTTTTAATTGTCTGTAGCCAAACCGCCCGGTAAGTGTGAACCATTTCCATATGTCGGAGCCCACAAGGGCATCCACAGAACTTGTGGAACCTCAGTCACAAACTGTATACTTCATAAGAAAACAGAAGGAAATTAACAAACAAAATGGCCGGTAGGAAGCCAGAAAAGAAGTCCAATCACGCTTAAAATAAAGAGGTTCACTCAATTAGCAAACCACAAACATGTGAGTACACCTAAACCTAAACCTACTACCGAGGGTCAAAAACTCAAATTCTAAGGGACTCCTACGACTAATTTTCCTAGAGAAAAAGGAAAGATAAGAGGCACAAGGACCGACAACCAGGAGAAGACTGATTAGCTGAACACCCAGAGGGTGTGCAACACAGCCATAGCAGTAGCCAACCAGACTTACAAAGTGCCTTTTATACACCACCCCAATCGGTAGTAAACATAGTGTATGGAGACCTACCAGTACAGCACATGCAACAAGATGTGTCCCCTAAGAACGAAGAATACACCTCAACATACGAAAATGCGAAAAATTCGCCCCTAAATAACACCTTAGTGAATACGTTTGAAATTTCAGCGTGTGAAAAAGCCAATACCGCGAGTGAGGAGCAAAATCGTGATAGTGCGGAAGAATTTAATAGCGTAAACATGGTTAAACCGACAAAGAAAATCAGACAATTTGGTGCGGGATATAAACCACTATCGATGCCGGATAACGTGTTTGCGAAAGTATTAAACTTCGGTACAGAAGCACATATAACGCAAGACTGCCGGAAACGCGAGTGACGCCGGAAACTCTACAGCGCAATTCGACCCAATACAGCTTTGTACAACCCCCATTCTTACCCAAGAGAAAACCTATATCCAATATAGATCAGATAAATACAGTCGAGCAAGAGATATAGAACAACGACGAATTTGTAGTCCCTAAAAAGACTAAAAAAATTTTAAACTAACTTTCTTAAAATACTCGAACAAAAAGCAGCAGAATCGAATATGAGCCGATCAGTGACTCAGAATCTGAAGTGGAAAGTGGTACAACTGTAAAAAAAAAAAGATAAAGCCATCCTCAACCTTCGCGTTAAGGGGAACTCGAGCATAGCTCAAACAAGGAAAATTAACAAGCCATACATAGAAAATAAAATGGTCAAAAACGAAAATATTCCCCCAATAGTTATAGATAGGTACACTAATAATCATACCAACTTAGCGCAAGATTTAAAAGCCATAATAAAAGGTAAATGCTCGGTAAAGTATACAAACGCTATCACTGTGATATTCGCTGAGGAAATCTAAGACTATGAGGCACTACTGGAAAGCATAAAAGAAGCCAACATTCCACACCACACATATACCAGTAAGGCAGAAAAAAGGCATGCTTTTGTGCTACGAGGCATGGCAAACGGAACCGACAAAACCCAAATACAGAAAGATCTAAATGAAAGATACGAGATAGAAACTAGGGAAATTTTCACTATACCTTGGTAATTAAGGATCCCGCAATAACTCTCGATTACTTTAACAAAAACGAAAGGGTAATCGAAAACACTAGAGTAATATGGGAGCTCAGAAGATCGGCCAAATCGATAATACAGTGCCACAGATGACAGGCGTGGGGACATGCTACGTCAAACTGTGAAAGGCCTCCGAAATGCCTTAAATGTGCAGTAGACCATGTGTGAAAAAGCGAGAAACCCCAGCCAAATGCACCAACTGCCAGGGGGATCATCAAACGTACACTGTCAGATCCAGAACCCGCAGAGAAAACTAACTTCAGCAGCCTACAACAAATATCTGGGACAGAAATCAAAACTCTCAACGAAGAAACTTTCCACCACTCCCAACTACATATGAGACAGCCACCCACACAGCCACAAAGACAAGCACCACCAGCAGTGCATTCGACAGGGGCAATGGATGATATACGACTATTCGCCCTAAACCACGAATTGGCAGAACTTAATTCACTTGTAGATATAGCAGAACTCACTAGAGCCATTAGAAACCTTAATACACAATTACGTTTATGTCAAATCACTGCACAATACTTTACGACTTTCAATGCAAACATAGACTTATTTAAAATCAAAAAATAAACACACACAAGCTGACACTTTCAAAGGTGTGATGACTACAGAATAATCGCACTTTTTTTAGAAAAAAGGAAAAAACGGTATTGCCACTTTTAAAAGTTTTTTTTTATAGATGAAACGTTCAAAAGTTGCTCAAAACAATTCACCCAAATATATAAAATTCATATTGATCTTGGAAGCAGTGAAGAGTTCACAGTATTGTTCCGGTGCTATATGATTTTTAACCAAACTTCATGTTATATATTATGAAATTAAAAAAAGTTGTTCCGGAATGGAATCCTGTGTCAATCACTCTATATTTTGAAGAGGCAGTAATTTTGGCCTTAATTGAATCATTTCCCGATGCAAATATCCACGGGTGTAATTTCCATTGAAATCAGTGTCTATGGCGAAAAGTTCAAGAAATAGGACTTGTAACTGACTACAAAGATAATTAACTCATTAACGCCTCACACACCTCACTTGTCTTCTTAAAGAAAATACTTGCGGCAAATTAGATAGTGCAGTGCAGGGGTGGGTCATTTATCCCAATTGGCTTGCTGAGATGTGCAGTAAGCACTGAAGCTGTTCAATTTTAGTCGATGCAGATTAAACGAGCTGTACGGTGCATTTGTTTCTGACGTTATTTTGTGATATGTGAAAAAATGGACATTCGCTTCAAGTAAGTACTATATACCAGACGTGGACTATATTTATAAAACTTTTCTATCGCAGAAGTATTTTATATACATAAACAAAGAAATGAAATATTTAATTTAAAAATGTCATAGCAATATATGTGTCAATCCAGGCGTTGCCATATGGCAACACTAGGCGCTTGCAATACCTACATTTTTATATTCTCTATTTTTGGTCAAGGAGAGGTTTTTCTCTTCCTGAAGCACTCGAAATGGTATATGACGACGACATTGACGGTGATATATTTGTTGAGCCTCCAGATTCTAAAGTAGAGACGGACGAGGATTCCGGAGAAGAGGATCGAGGCGGGTAAGTTTATTTCAAAAAAAGGAACGTGGTCATATTGAAACAGCAATTGAAAGACAAGATGGACTATTGTATGCCCAGGCAATGTATGAAATATTATGAATATTATTCTCCCTTACATACTTTACCTAGGTAATGTATATAATTCCTAGGGATTGTATAGAGTACCTGCTGGTCCACCGGTAATGTATAAAGTTAAAAGAAAAAGAAGGACAAATAAAACATCTTATATTTGCTAAAACTTTATTAAAATTAACAATTAGGTAACCCATTAAAGATAATCTTTATAAAAAAAGGTAAGTAATATAATATGTACCTTTTTTGCAGTAAAAATAAGAATTATTACACAAAACTTTAACGCAAAACGTAACGACTTAAGTAACATAATCTAATTTGCTTATAAGTAATCAGGTAATTAGATTGAAAAATTAGGAAACAATTCTGTAAAAATAGGTAGGTAGTACCTAGGTCTACTGCCTTAATCAAAATTGGTCGAGTACAAAAATATTTGTTTATTCTTACATGAAGAACTGTTGTGGCATTTTGAAGTGCATAAAATTTTACTTTTAAAACATGAACACTTTTTAGTATCGCAGTGTTTTTTGCTAGTACATTTTACAAATCCCTGACCTGTGCTCGTAGATTGTAGATTCGAAACTGTACAATGTATTGTTTCTTGATTAGGGACATCTTCTTTTTTAAGTAACTCTTGATGATAAACTGTGAACTGCTGTCTTGAATACAATGACTTTAGAACGCCTTATTTTCTTCCGAGTTGATAAAGTTCGTCATCTGTTTTTTGTAAGACTACAGCTAGTATATTGCGAGCATTACCCTGGACCTCTGTCGACTTCTGGAACAGGGATTCTTACAATGGTACCCAATGGCACAGGAGGAATTTTTTTTTCAGAAGTTTTGAGCATTTTCTGAGCTTACTGTGTTAAATTTTCTTTGGAACTGATGCGGTTCTCTACAACTAAGGCGTTTTTCGCACATAAAGGGCAAATAACTTTAGAACCATGTCCTTCTGCCATATCTTTTTCCGGAGCAGCACAAATAGCATAAACAGGTCTGTGGCATTTTCTACACGAATGTGCACCCGTTGTCTCCTTGGTACAAACACAGCACAAGAGTGGGGAACTTAATGATTGCTCAGGTTCTGCTATGAAATTTGGATCATCTAACGGTTGACCATTTATCACAGAATGAAGATCTTCAACATTCACAGGATCATCAAGAATCTCGGAACTTAGAATAGTCGTGTGTTCATCATTCGCACTTTGAACATTTGAAGCTGATGACTTAACTACATTTTCTTGATCCTCTTCACTTTCCAGCTTGTAAGTATCATCGAGAGGCAAAGATATAACAACTTTTATTTTAGAATCGAAAAGAGCTTCGTAAGGTGTTCTTTTGATACCTGAATGGTAAGTTCTATTCCTTATAAGTTGTATAAATCGTAGACCATCACTCCAACGGTCAGTGCCATTATCTTGCATCCAAGTTGTTAGCATGTTTTCGATGTCCTGGTTTGCTCGTTCGACACTCACCTGACTTTGGGAATGTCTAGGCTTGCCATGAACAATTTTCAAACTCGGCCAGTATCCTTTAAGACTACTTACAATTTGGTTTGAAAATTCTCTACCGTTGTCAGATTGTAGGATTCCTGGGGCACCAATCAGTGTGAAAATATCCAGTAAATTGTACGTTACCTCCTCCGCGCGTTCTGATTTTAGTGCTCTTAATATCACAAATTTCGTTAGATGATACTGATAGACCATTACAAATTTATATTCCCGGTCTGGATGAGATTGATAGTCGATCAAATCTACTTGACAACGAGAGTTAAATTCAAATGAAAGTATAGGCTTGACGACGATCCCTTTTTTACTCCTTTCTGTTTTTGCTGGCACGGTTCGCAAAGTTGCAGATATTGTTCAATATCATGACGAGTTATATTTTTGTATCGTATAGAAAGCTCCTTCAACATTCGGTCTCGTCCTTCATAGCCGATACTCTGATGTGTATCGTGAAGTACTTGGAATAATTTACTATCAGCGACGTAGTATATAATATTGTTTTCAGGAGTATTCACAGGAAATATCAACTTATGTTGTTGACCAACAGTTATAGAATCATAACGCTTCAGTAACCAGTAATCCCGGGGAGACTTCTTTTCAGCTATTTTTGCATTTTTTACTTCTTCTAACAATTGTTCATACCGTCGATCGTCAATAAACGTGCGATTTTTAGAATTTGCTGCTTCCCTTTTAATTCGCAATTGTGAAGAAAATCTTTCTCTCATCTGAGACACTCGTGGATCGGCCGCCATTTTAAAGTAGGTAAATTCACTCATGAAACAACAAAAGAACGCTGCTTAGTCTTTCCGTCCGCGTCGCACGGAGTTTACTTGGATACTGCCTACTCCCTGCTAGTGATGGGAGTACTCGAGTACAGGAATCGGATAATACCCGATTCCTAAAGGAATTGGTATTATTCGAATACTGACGACCAGCGTCGGAATCGGAATCGATTCTGATTTTTAAATATTAGACGATACTGCTGCGAATCGCGATCCGTCTTGTACCGCTGCTCACTGCTGACGTGCTAACTGAAACGAAATTAAAATATAGAGTCTGGTCGGGTTCGAGGTTCGAGACGCTGGAATCGCTGAAAATTGGATCGGTGTTAGTGATCGTCGTTATACTCGGTTGATGCAAGTACTCAGTACTCGGTATTCAATCAAATACCCGATTCCGTGAAGTACTCGACCCCTTAGTACTCGATTCTCAAAAGTATGCGATTCTTCCCATCACTACTCCCTGCTCCTACATCTCCCACTACACCGGCGCGGCACCGCTCTTGTCTTTTACACACATTACCCGCTGCGCATTCGGTATTGTATAGAATAGCTAGGTAATGTATAAAATAAATCATATTTCATACATCACCTAAACGTTTTAGGTATTCTATACAATGCCTAGGTATTGTATAGAATACCGGATTATACAGATTGCCGGTAACATATATATTGAATATAGGCAAAAATAAGTACTGTATTTCTGTCTACTAAATGATTGATCAACTTACAAATTGGTTTTCACATGTTCCGTATGAAATTACTTGTAAACTGGGATTGTACACTTGATGACAAGCTAGTAAACATATATTTGTATATGTTTTACCATCAGATGCACAAACTGGTTTTAGAATGTTTGAACAAACGCAATTCTTATACTGAAGTTTCGGTAAACGGTCACTTGCTTGAGGCACTGGACTAACCACTTTAGGTGCCTAAAAACAAAATAATTAGTTTTAACTAGAAAAATCTAGAATGAATAAAATAGTGAATATGGTAACAGCTGCTTTTAAAAATGTTTAATAATTAACGAACCGTTAAATCCAAATTGATTCGTTAAAATCAAATGTGTGTTGCCAGAAACGTCGCTAAGTTCATTTAATTGCTGAAAACAGATGAATAAATATGACGGACACCTATCAAATATTAAATAGAAAGTTTTATATTCGGATCACTAAAATTAATAAAATTAGAGGTTGATAAAGTAGAGATATATTTTAATATTAAACTGAAAGTCATCATTTGGGCTACTCTTAAAATAGTAACTTAGATACAATTTTTTTTATCTATGAATAACGACAAACCATATATACATACATAGTGGTTCATAAGTTGAGTACTTTTTCTAATATGGTAGATATGGAACCCCATAAAAACAAACAAATTTTTCAAATACATTTTTTTTCATAAACCTTCAAATTAAAGAGATAATCCTTTTACGTTTTAAGTTCAGACCTATTTATCATATACTTTTCACCTACTTTGCAAAAACTGTATAATTGAGTCTTTTTACTAAATCAACCCATTAATAAAAATTTTAATTGATCAACTGAATAATTAATATTTCAGTTTGTTTTAAGATAAATTTAAGGACTTATTTGTTTTTTTAGATATATTATAAGGCGAACCATTTCCGAAAAATTAGGCCATGCTCTAATCCTTTAAGTCTATCTGCCCTGTCTAGACCTTCTTACGACCCCACTTACTCCTAAAACCAGAAATACTCATATTTCATGAAGGCAATAAATCCCCTTTACCTAGCTATAGGGATGCCTATTGTCACAAATAGTCAGTATGAATTGTTCATTCGGGTATATACTAGAATCCAGCGGATGCCTTTGTAGGAGCATATTCGAGAAATTTCTACTCAATAAATGGTGGTAGCGAGAATAATCTAGGGCATACACCAATTTATATATAAATGGGCTGTGTTGCACATTAAGTCAGTTTGTTAAAAGTCGAGTCATAGCTGTGAGAACATCGATAAATTATTATTAGTAAATTGTTAAATAAATTAGAAGTGTGAAATATAAATAGTGCATGAGTGTACCCAAATTAATAGTACATAGTGTTAAAAATAAATATAAACTGTTTTAAACTATTTTTAAAATTAACAAACGTTAAAGTACCTTGAGAAGAAAACAAAGCGGGAATTAAATTATTATTAGTCTACAGGGTCGACTACAGAGCCTGTAGTATCTAACTATTTAAATTACATTAAAAAGATAATGAATTTATAATTTTCTTTAAACATATTTTTGAATCGTAATTTTAGTTTATCAAAATTATAAGAATAATTCCCAAATGTTGTTTTATATTCTAAATATTTTTCCTAACAGAAATTTTAAATAAATTAGATGAGCTCAACTTACGATATTTACATTACATGGAGCGAAGACAACTAATGATAAAGTCGGATTCTCCAGTTGATTACAAGCTAGGACACATTTATTTACATAAGTTATACCATCGGATCCACAAACTGGATCAATAATTTTGTTGCAAACGCAATTTAAAAATTGAGGCTTCGCTAAAACATTACTTGGTCGAGGAGTGGAAACATCTGTACCTGTAATCTTAAAAAGAGAACAAAATATATTATCTAAAATAGAAAAACATATAAGTACCACACCACGAAAAAAAAACATTGAAAGTCGTAATGTTTTAATAAAACATGGTTCAATTATTCAACATTATTCAACATTATTCAACATTATTCAACATTATTCAACATTATTCAACATTATTCAACATTATTCATTATTATTCAACATTATTCAACATTATTCAACATTATTCAACATTATTCAACATTATTCAACATTATTCAACATTATTCAACATTATTCAACATTATTCAACATTATTCAACATTATTCAACATTATTCAACATTATTCAACATTATTCAACATTATTCAACATTATTCAACATTATTCAACATTATTCAACATTATTCAACATTATTCAACATTATTCAACATTATTCAACATTATTCAACATTATTCAACATTATTCAACATTATTCAACATTATTCAACATTATTCAACATTATTCAACATTATTCAACATTATTCAACATCATTTAACATCATTTAAGAGCCCCGCATACCGCCTGATCAATTCAAATGCGGGATTTGCTGGTTACGTCGTCTCTAACATCCATCTCTTTTTATCGAAATAAACAATATCAACTGAGAATACATTGAAAAAGTTGTTTCTAAATTCGGATACGCGTATATAAATACGGTAATAGAAGCGAAACGACGTTAGCAAAAAAAACTGTGTTTTACCGTTTTTTAAACTATATACGCCAATATGACGAAAACTGTGCAAAAATTCGTAAAAATTTATTCTTGATTATTATTAGGCAAAAGCTTAAGGATTCTAATAGTTTTCAAATCATATTTTTATCATAAGTCATAAGCGAGATAATTAAGGTAAACTAACATTATGTCACAATATGCTTGATGTACAGAAGAATATAAATTATTAACATATTTATAAGTGCGAAAATTGCTTACAGGAATTTAAAATGGTAGATATATTTTGTATTTTTTAATTTATTAAAAGTCGGGATAAAAGCTAAAAGATGTGCAAATTTTTATGTTCTAATAAAAAGTTGAATTATAAATTCAAATAACTAATTAAATTTAATTTTTTTAAAAAATTGTTCAAATAAAAGTTGTTTGTAATATCATTCCCTATAATTCTTATTCCACACAAAATTTCTCTAAAATAGACCGTATTCGATTTATTTGAGAAAACGTAAATTTTGAATTTAAAAAAAAAAACAAAAAAGGAAACAGAAAAACAAAAAATTTTAAATTTAGTCTGTAATCCATCCTGCGGTAAAATGATTAAATTTTGGTAGTCGTAATATCTGGGGGATACCTTATAGAGGGTCGTTTTTCTACTTTATGAAATATATCTGTTATTTACAATTAGAGAAGAAAATTCTTCAAATAAAAGTTGCATATAATGTTATTCTATATAGTTTTTGTTATATACATAATTTTTCTAAAATGTTCCATATTCAAGAAATTTGACAAAAAGTGTAAAATTCCAATTTGTAAGAAAATTGCTCAAATAATAAAGTTATTTGCGAAATTATTCTCTATAATTTTTATTCTTTATATAATTTCTCTAAAATGGACCGTATTGGAAGAATTTGAAGAAAAATATAAAATTTAAATTTTTCAGTATTTTCAGGGGTTATACAAAATAACCGGAAAAAGATTGTAATAACTAGACAGGAAAGTCATGTGTTGGACACATCAGATTTTTAAATATAATGTTTTGAGTGTCGTGACAGTGACAGTTTATATTTATTTTTAAGAGAAATGAAAATAAGTATTGTACTAATTGTTTTTCAAAATATATGAAATGATTATAATTTCACCTAATGTCTACCGGCAAAAGACCGGTAGGCCTTCGTTCAAGCTGACGGCCCTCTTTCAGGCAGTGGGCCCTCGTTCGGGCAGTGGGTCCTCGTTCGGGCAGTGGGTTCTTGTTTAGATTTTTTGTTTGCAGATTACATTAAAAGGTTTATTGACAAAGTCCAAATTGACATAACATTTATACCTAATACTTAATTAGGCAGGATCGGTTTCGTGGCCAATATAAATCAAACAATTTTTGTCATAAAATATATTTATTGTGTTATCTTGCTTGTTGTATTTTAATATTCACTGTTAATGTAATAAACTGATAAAGCATTGTATGCTTAACTTTAAACCTAAGAAATTGCATAGGTACCTACATAAATAATCTGTCTACTTTTGCAAGTTTTGGTCAAAAATTTGTTTAGGTAAACTTTAATACGATGGAAATTAACATATTTTACTGAAGTACATTGCTTTTAAAATTCTATGTGATAAAATTTTGTTCCTAAGTTATGTTCATAGGAAAAATTGTATACATAACTCGTTGAAAATCGTTATTTCTGTACTCTCACTTTCCAAATTAGTTTTGGAATATACCATTTTTTTACTTCTTTTACGCTTCTAAAAAAATGTATTGCATTTAACTTCTCCCAAGACATAATTAAAAATAATAATTTTTTAATGGGAGGAACTTCCTACAACTAATATTTCTAAAACCATTACACATAATCTGGTGGTCTGTGCATCGCAGGTTCTGTCTCCGACCTACGTGTGGTAGCAGTTCTTGTTTACAACACTGAGTATCTAACGCAAACCACATAAAAATAGTACTAAAATTACTTACGTCCTCCAATATTGTTACAGGTTCTTTTTCTTTTTAAAGAAAAACACAAATAGTTTTTATTCATTTTAGATTTTCTTTTTGGATTTATTTATTTTTAAAAACTAAATATACAACAACGCAATCACCGCACAGTCACAGAAACAATAGATGCACACGTTATGCAGTCAAATTTAGTATAACCTACTGTTATTGTATTGTACTCTTAGGCCCGGTTTTTCAATGTAATGTTAACTTGGAGGTTAACTAACTTCTACTTGAAGGTTAACTTTTAGTTAAAATAAGAAACGTTTTTTAATGTAAATTGTACTTCTTGTTAATTGACCTAGATTTTAATTTGGCAACGTTGTATTTTTATGTGTTCTGTGATGGTTCTGTGGTATTCTCCCGGTGAATATATTGCCTTTCATCGTGGGTATTCTAATGTTGTTTTCCTCGATGAATGACATATTCAAACTAAAAAAGAAAGATAACTTATAAAGATTTAAGAAGACGCCAAATTTTCAATTCTTGGAATTTGGAATGTTTCTATAAATCTATTCAAGAATCTATTATTTAGGCAGAGACAACATTTAACTGTAGGTCCCGAACTTCATCAATGATCATCTCAACAGTCCGCTTCGACAATCTAAATATTTTGAAAAAATCTAAACTAACATATTGTTCCATAAAATTAAGCCTCTGTCGAATTATTTTTGGCCTTCTCACTATTTCTTCCTCTTCGCTATTGTAGACATTAACAATATTTAAAGCATCCATAATGTCAAAGCACATGTAGGTTATAAAGTTAAGATTATCTCTTAACAATGGGTTAACAGTACCCTGAGAGTAAGGTTAAAATTAGCTTTCGGTTAGTCTTTAACTATCAATTGAAACAGAAATGTTTTAGTTAACATTCAGTTAGCTCAAGGTTAGAGTAACTACACATTTAAAAACCGGCCCTTAGTACTTTTAGTAATTAGGAATTTTTAAAACAATGGGCGTGTCAAGCGTTTGATCTCCTTTTTTCTTTTACCCTGTTCTTTAGTATCCGGTCGGCGTAATAAATAATTATTATAGGAAGGTAATAGGTAATTAGTAAATTATATTTCTTGTTTGGAACTAAGATTTCTTACAAAACCATTTGCTCAAATTTAGGTATATTGTTTATAAAAATTCTTTACGGATTTAAAATTATTTTTCCAACGAAGAGATTCTAATAAAATACATGCATTTTAGCATTGTATTCATTTAATTTAGTATATAAGTAACTAATATTTAATATAGCCTTATTATTTATATAGTCCGTAATAATTATAATTACGAGATCGTTAATTGTATATGTGTTTCAATAAAATATCTACGCTTAGCACTTTCACTGTTATGTTTTCCAGTGTATGCTGAGAATCCCGTCTCTAATGGTCTACGTATTACTTAGTTCTAAAAAAATCCGCCGGGTTTTGCGATGGCAGTAAAAATCAGTGGCAATTACTTAAATTTTATTTTGATCATATCTCTCTTATTTGGTGAGAAAAAATTCTCCGGTTTTTTTTAATCGGTTTTAAATTTTACTTGTAAAGGAGGCTGTTTTTTAGAATTTCAATTTTTATCGTAGTTTAAAAAATAAAAATTTCATAATTTTTTTTTCAAAAATGTAAAAAACACGCTCCAATTGTATAAAAATTACCAATCGACTAGTGAAAACAAAAAAAATATATTTTTAAAAATAAGGACGTTATGGTCAAAAAACGAAATATATGTGGTGTGCGGGGCTCTTAACATCATTCAACATTACTCAACATGCGAGTACCAAAAAATATTCTTGTGAATAAATTCTTGTATGTGGAATACATAAATGGTACATGTTGCATTTTACTCTTTGTTGGTATCTCTGTTAATATAATTGATATAATGGATATATGTGGAGAATATTTTAGAAAATTTTATGCTGATTTTGTATCAGTTTTTAAAATTATTAAAAGTTATGTAGTTTTTGAGTTATTTCAAAGAAACTAAAACTGGCCTATTTAATGGCAGCTTATTATATTAAATTGACATATTCAATTACATTTTTTCAGAGGAAATTATTTTTGTAAAAGGATTTTCCAAATTGGCTTTTTTTGAGTGCGTACTGTAAATTTCTTATTTCTAAGAGCCGTCATCTTGGATTTTTACATAATTTTATTATTTTATAAATTATTTTTTAAACGATGTGCCACATGTTATCCAAATTATTAAAAAACACCCATGAAGACACAAAAAAAAATATTATTTAAGGGGTGCGTTGCTCAGTGTTAGAGTCTCTGCCTGCGGATCCAAAGGTCCCAGGTTCGAATCCCACCGTTGGCCGGGATTTTTTCATTTAATTTAATTATTTAAAATTAATTCTGAAACCTTGATAGGATTCCTTACTCGACTATTCACTGTTGGATTTTTATTAACAGTGCTGTTCCTAAAGTGGCACTGGGAAACAGTAACAAAGCCTACACAAAACACGAGGCGAAATAACTTTAGCAGTTAAAGCCGATGACACAAAAAATAATAATAATAATACACAAGACGTTTTTTAATATTAAAGGAAAAAAAACAAGTTATAACTTTTATAACGTTTTTGATTTTCGATTTGTTTTTCTTTTCTTTTACGCATACACCACATATGATTAACCTAATCATTTTAAATATTATTTGAGATTGGCAATATTAAAAAAAGTATTAAGTTAAAAATTTCGTATTTACTTACTATTAAGTCTAATCTGTTTTCTTATTACTAAATTAAATTGCAAAAAAGTATTTGACACGTGTTTTTAAGTTTAACCCCCAATTTTTTTAATTAAATTAATAATAGCATTTATTTTTTATTAAGGCCATATTAAGAGCATTGTGATAGTGATGGTAGAGCTTACGTAGAAACAAAATAATTTTTTTTTGCCCTTCAGACCCCCATGCAGTTACCCAAATACTTTTTGTTTTTTTGTTTAGAATTAAAAGATGGACTTTAAGAATTTTTTTTCACTAAGTTTAATATTTCTAATGATTAAAATAATCAACAATTATCAATAGCAGCATAGTTTGTCTAACTTTTCAACCCATTTAACAAGATTATTTGAATGTTTAAAATACTTACATCTGATGTACCTTTCTGAGGTGGTTCTTTTTTAGAGAAAAGCACTTTCTCCAAAAGATGTTCAGCTAAAACGTGTGATAAGGTCTAAAAAAAAACAGTTAAATGAATAAATCTTAGTAGTAATAAATAACATCGTCATACGCTGTTGAATTGCGCGGTATGGCTGCATTTAATTTAAACCTTTAATGGCGAATTTTAATTTAAATTCTGACATATCTACTTATAGTAAAACAACGGTTCAATAGTTGTTTAAAATAACCACCATTACTTAATTCATACAATAATACTACAAAAACTCTCTAAACAAAAAATGTATGACGGTATACCAAAGGACGTGGGTTTGATTCCCAAAGGTAGCAGAGTTTTCAATTTTTCCTTGGTTTGTTTTTACGATCAGGAATTTATTCATATTTTTTTTTTTTTACAAAAAGCTATGTTAGAATATTTTCAAAACACCAGATTAGCCGGTTGGCATCATTATAAATAAATTTTTTTGCAAAATACAATTTTTAATAAATATTTAAAAAAATTGTCTTACCTTAAAAATAGGCATGAACCACTGAAATAAAAAAAAAATGTTCATTAGAAATAAAAAAAAAAAATTAATTAAGATTAAGATCACTTTTACGTATAGTAATGCGCTAGTGTGAAGGGGAAAGAGTATTATTTCGCCTTTTTTTTTAGTGTATTCGCCTTTATTCTACTGCCGAGTTAACGATAGATTAGAGCAGCGGTTTCCGAACTTTTATGCCCACGGAACCCTCAGATTATTACTTACTATTACTTACTTTAGTTTGTCAGAATTTCTAACACCATTAGAAAATGTAACTAGTAGGTAGTGGTAAAATTTGACTAAATTTGCAATATTTACCTGTAAGTCAAATAGGGAGTTATAACAAGTGTGCTTTATACCCAACAAACAATTTAAGTAGGTTAACTATTATCGTAGTTATTAATCAGATATGTGTTCAGCCAACGGGTTGAATAATACAGATTTAATTACCTGATAAGACTCTTTTCTGTCGTCAGAAAGCTAAAAAAGAAGAAAATAATTAGCCTATAGCTGCTTAAAGTAGGTAGAGGAAGTGCTTTAGGTGCGTGAAGTTGCCACCCCCCCAATAATATTTTTCATAAAAAAAACTATTGCACCATAATGCCTATTGATGCACCAATATACACCATTAATAATATTTTTGCACCACCTTCCTTGAGAAACTGCAGCCATATCTTTGTGGGGGGGGGGGGGGGGGCAAATGAACGGTGCCCCCCCCCACCCCAGTGAAAATTTTAAGATTTACTGTAATGAACCAGTTAGTACTTGTCATGCACTCATATGCACCACCAATTAAACTGTTTGCACCCCCTCCCTTTAGTAGTTATAGCTGTTTCTTTACCGTGAAGTTGGCCCACCAATGATATTTTTACAAAAAAAATATTGCACCGTTATGCACTTCTAATGCACTCATATGCACCACCAATTAAACCTTTTGCACCCCCTCCCTTCGGTAGTTATAGCTGTTTCTTTACCGTGAATTCCCCCCCCCCCCCCCCCCCCCAATGATATTTTCACAAAAAATAATATTGCACCGTTACGTACTCCTAATGCACTCATATGCACCACCAATTAAACTTTTTGCACCCCCTCCCTTTGGCTATTTCTTTACCGTGAAGTTAGCACCACGCAATATTTTTCCAAAAAAAAAATATTACGCTGGTATGCACTCCTAATACACTAATATGCACCATCATTAAAACTTTTTTCTTCCCCTCCCTTTGGTAGCTATAGCTGTTTCTTTACCGTGAAATGGGCACACCCAATTATTTTTCACAAGTTTTTCTGTAATTAGGGTTTGTTTGAACATTTTTGTTTTTACTATGAAAGAAATTAAATTTTAAATACAGGATACTGAAATAATTAGAGATATTAAAACATAAAGATGGAAACATATTTCAACACAAATATAACACAAAATAGAACCTTTCTTCTTTTGTTGGAGGAGACATCATTTTAAATAAATAACAAAATCTAAAGATCCTAAAATTTCTTATAATTGCAATTTGGTTTAGAAATCCCTAACTTAAATTAAATTTGACATATTATATGAAGTTACACATTTAACGTTACCACATTATGTGTGACGTCAACAGAGTAACTACAATACTGTTACCAAGTATGTTGTAAGCTTATAAAGTAATTCCTTTCTATTTGGTTTGAAATTCAGAGATGTACGAGTACTGTGAAATATTATCAGTATTAAAATAGGCATCCACGTGCGAATTGGCGAAAAAATTGAAAATTCAAAGCAATATAACAAATTAATATTATATTAATGCAATGAAATTTCTCGATAAAAAAGTTATTTATGCAACAAGTGTGCAAAGTTACTCTTTTTTGACGAATGTGAATATTGTAGCACGAGCCGTATGCTCTTTTTCCACTAAAATAACTTTTTTCACTTTACGAACCAGTGAAAAAAAGTACAACTTTACACACGGTAGTAGAAAAACAATTAATTGTAAACTACCTTTTAATTAAATACTGAAACTGTGTTTATAGTAGAAATATCATAATAACTAATCTAATTGTGTTTAATACAAAAATATAATAAAAAATATAGATATAAGCGACAAAGCAATTAGCAGACGATGAAGACCATTTTTCTAGCGACAATAACAATGATTTAGTCCCTTATAAATGTGTTTAATTTCTTATGTCTTGTTCGTTTTAACAGTGTTAATATAAACACGTACACCCTTGAAGATTTCATCTCGAATAGTGAACATTCTTGGGAATTTCTATCTATTACACTTTACGTAAATATGTACCAATTTTGACGCATTTCAAGGGTTTTAGGTACTTTCTTTTAAGGTAAATAAATGAAAAAACCGATAACTTTTGTAAGCATATGAGTGCATTAACAGTACATAACAATGCAATATTTTTTTTTTTTTAAAAATCATTAGGGGGGCTAGCTTCACGATAAAGAAACAGCTATAAATACCAAAGGGAGGGGGTGCAAAAAGGTTAATTGGTGCTGCATATGAGAGCATCAAGAGTGCATACCGGTTCAATATTTTTTTTGTGAAAAAATAATTGGAGGGGGGCTAAATTCACGGTAAAGAAATAGCTAAAACTACTAAAGAGAGGGGTGCAAAAAGTTTAATTGGTGGTGCATATGAGTACATGACAAGTACTAACTGGTGCATTAAAGTAAATCTTAAAATTTTTACAGGGGGGGGGGGCCGCGTTCATTTGGCCCCCCCCCACAAAGAGATGGGTGGTGCAAAAAAATTATTAGTGGTGCATATTGGTGCATCACTAGTGCATTATGGTGCAATAGTTTTTTTTTTTAAATTTCATTGGGGAGGGGGGGCAACTTCACGCACCTAAGTGCTTCTTCAGCTTTTAAATAGCTTGGGTAACATTTATTATACAGCGACTTTGTTGACAAAAAAAGCGCTTTTTCAACTTTTATACAGACTCGTTTTCAACATAGTAAGCAGATTTTTTTGTTTAAATTAAAAATAAATAAAATAATTAATTTAATTTTTAATAACAATTTTTCCAACAAGTAATTTAGGTATTCAAATTTTTGTTTTTACAAACACTATTTAAGGACAAGGATATCTAAAAAAATATTTTTTTTTTAATTTAAATTATTGCAAAATAAATTAGGCAATAATATCTAAAATATGCATATTTTTTAATGTTTTAGTACCTTCCAGTTTACGAGAAAAAAAATCAAAGGGCTTCAAATTTTGAAATATCATGATAAAAATAAATGCATTCCTCAATAGCACTATTTTTAATATAATCCATGAATTTAAGCTCTTAATGTCTTGTTAATGATTTTTTAAAATTCGCCGAAATTAGTGGCTACAACGCCTCGTTAAGTGCTTTCTTCTGGTATAAACTGGTGTAACCGAATGATGACTAAAAGTGTACGATACGATAGTTATAGCAGGAGGCAGCACTTAACGAGGCGTTTTAGCCACTAGTTTTGGCGAATTTTAAAAATCATTAACAAGATATTAAGTGCTCAAATTTCGGGATTATGATAAGAATAATGCTGTTGAGGAATGCATTTATTTTCATTATAATATTTCAAAATTTAAAGCCCTTTGATATTTTTCTCGGAAATTGGAAAAAATTAAAATTTTAAAAAATATGAATATTCTAGATATAATTACCTAATTTATTTTGCCAAAATTTAATTTTTTTTAAAAAATAACTTTTTGAGATATCCTTGTCCGAAAATTATAAGGGGGTGATGTAATCACCTTAAATATTTTTTCGTTTTTTATCTCTTTTCTGGAATCGAACTCGTGACACCATTCTTTCTCGATCAGTACGTTCGTACCTTTACATACTAGCTCACCTAACAACCTGACAAAAGACTTACATCTTCGGGAAAAATAAAAACTTTGTGTTTGGTAGCTTAAATAAGTTACTGCCGTTCTTATTACTTGAATTAAGGAATGTCTCTAAACAGGTTGACAGCAAACACGCGATCATAAAACGTTCGGATTTTTAAACATGACGTCCTCTGTTAGCAGAAATCGCAAACAAAACATAAAACTATAATTAGGCATTCCAAACTGAATGCCTACCAGTGGGCTTTGACGGGTTATGATATTGCAAAATTATGGCAACCCTGTAGACCTGGTGATTTGACAAGGTCAATGAAATAGTTAGTTACATAGATTGATTATCCATATTTTTCAAAATAAACATAAGCGTATGCCTTGAAGTAAAAATGTAAGCAATTATTTTTTTTAAATATCTAAAGGCTAAAAATTGGTTTTAAAACACATTTTTGCTAAACCGATTCAAATTAATAAATATTTGCCAGGCAATATGGCCGCTCGTAAACGACCAGCTTTGAGCAATCTATATAACTATATATGTATCACTGACCCTGTTAATGACAACATGACAACAGGGTTGCCATATCTAAACTGTCATTACCCACTGGTAGCCATTTGGACAGGTCGTTGGAATGCTTAATTTAACAAAAGATATTAACGTATTTACAGGTATCTTCAATTCACAAGTATCTTAATACCAGGCATTAAATTGTAAAGTGTCCATTACTGGTCCTTTGTCCAAGACTGATGCCACTACCCTATAACGTTTTTAAATTCTGTTCGCAAATTTCGCGATTTTTCTTGTACATTTTTTTATTACTTTAATGCATCTATTTTGTTTTTCAAATATTGCTCTTTCAAGTGCTTCAGAAATGTCAGAAAGGAAATAACGCTTTAAACTAAAATGGGGGTTTCGACTGCCAACATTTTAATATTTCATCTTGACAATACATGCCAAAACATAATTATTAAAGCAATTGTTCAGCGACATTAACCTTCCGGGACTGGCGCGCGGACTCTCAGTCCGCAGCGCTTTTTGTTTGCCGTTTGCTGCGTAACCCACCCTTTCTCAAATCGGTGCATTTTTGTATTCTTTAAGCATTAAATTAGTAGTAGTATCTCAAAGTTAGAAGCGTGAGTGTATTTTTGTTCTTATGTTATAAAAGATTGCGGAGTGAGAGTCCGCCGCCAGTTGCCAATCCCATTTTTGACCACACTACTTACGACACCTATATGTTTGGAATGTTACAGTGAATAGATTTATAATATGTTTATATTTTTTTTGTTTATATTACGTTGATTTTATGTTTTTAGTAGCTAGTTTCAGGAATGTTAAACTTTTCTGATGTATTTCTAATAATGCCAAAAATACATGTTCCTTTATGTTTTTTTGTTGTAAAATTAATGTTGTTTAATTATTTTTGATGCTTTTAAATAAATAAACAAAAATAATTGCAAACTGTTTTATAATTGGCTCAAATTTATTATGCGGACTCACAGTCCGCCGCCATCGCCGGATCACAAAAATTTCACGCCAGTCCCGAAAGGTTAATTTTTTTTGCTTAAGATTGTATGACTACGAACATTCAGTTAATTCGCCTATTTTGTCGATTCTGTCGTTTCTATCAATTTTGTCGATTTTGTCGATTTTGTCGATTTTGTCGA